AGGCTGTTTAAGTAATTATAAAATATGATAAGTGAAATAAAGAAACATTGAGCTACTGTAATTTATGCAAAGGTCACTTTTTTGTTTTACTTAGTTTCAATTGTAAATCTCTTGGTTTTGATAAAATATTTTTTTCCAAAAGAAAGGCCAATAAATTGTGATTTGTAGTCACAGTAACCTTATTTTGACTTGTGCACAGTCTTCTTTCAATTTTAGGTTACACATTGCTCTGGACTGGTCAAGCTGTGGAGAGGTGAGGTGGAACACCAGACCTGCAATGATCCAGTCGGTAAATGATGCTCTGAAGTCTGGTAAGATGCACAACATCATGCTTCACCGAAACGAGCTCGTTACCTCAACCACATAGACTTAACTTCTTGAGAACGTTGTCCAATGTATAATAATGCCATTAAACATTTTTATTTGTTCTCTTGCTTGGTACATTATTTTTCTTTTTTTGTTTTTGTTTGTTTGTTTGTTTGTTTGTTTGTTTGTTTGTTTAAACAATTTAAAACATGACAGTAATGTCATTGTTTAAAGGAAACAATTGCTCAATAAATTAGTAAAATGCAACTTGTTATGTTTGGGTTCTTTCATCTAAGTTAGACATGGTGTGACCCATGTACTGGTTTTGATTTTTTGTTTTTACTGTAATTGACCTTCAAAAGAGCTAGAAACAGGGACTCAGCAGCTGATCCTCCGCAGAAAAATTATATGGACTACAGGTCATGTATTATTTGTTTTATGACATTTAGTGAAGGTTTTTGTTCGGATAAAGGCAATAAATGTCTCTATTTCACCACAGATGAACTGTTCCTGTTGCCATATCTTTTGAAATAAAACTGCACAACACAAAGTACAAAGTAATTTAAACAGGAATGGGTAGAAGATTAAATCAAATTCAATGTATTTCCTAAAAATTAAATTAAGATAAAAAAACAGGAACAGGACAGGAGTGGGAGTGATTCTGAACAAGAGCAGGACAGGAGCAGGAGTCATGTTACCAGGAGTGGGACAGGACAGGATTATTTTTTTAACTCTGGACCAGGATTGGGACAGGACAGGACATGATTTTTTCTGTAGGACCAGGACAGGACAGGAGTGAAAATCCACTTCTGTGTCATCCTCTAGCACACACCCCACCACCCAGCCCCAGCTGCTGAGGGCCGCCAATGCACCGGCAGCAGCGGGGCCCACCACCGGAGGGAAGCACGACACATTAAATGGGGGGCCAAAATTGATCCAAGAGAGGGGACCACCTAAAACCCAACCTGAGACATAAACGGGTACACAAAGCCATCCATGCGCCCCACCCACCTGACAGTGACCGCAAGCTGGCCCCAGGCCGGGGGCCAGAGCAGCAGGGAGCATTAATGCGGGCCCAGCGCACCAATGATCAGGCATCCCTAGAGCCCCACACCACAGGCCCAGAGAGGTCCCGGCACGCCACCCATGCACCCCC